TGTATCAAAAAAACATGAGGCCCTGGCAAAACAACTAGTGGAAATTTGGTCTTTGCGGTTTTATGAGTGAATTAAGCTTACTATGTGAATGCGAGAAACCGACTCAGCCATAATAGAGGGCGCCAGTGAATGCCGTCAAGTTCATACGCTTCATAATATCTGAGAAGACACCAATGTCGGCATGGTTGAAAACGCTTGCCGCATTCGACGTCAGTGCAACGGTAAACGTTTAACGATCTGCAGTTGTATTTTCTGTCACCTGATAACAGAATGATAAGAGGAACCCAAACGTGGCCGAAAATTCGGCGGCCCGTTGCCCGAGTAACTGTAATCCCTAATAATAACAGTTGACAATTTTTTCAAGCATGCTGTAATGTGTGTTTCCTAAGCATGACGACCTCTTTCGATTCATTTCTAGTAGTTTTAAAAGAAACAAGGCCAGTTTAAAAAGGGTCTCGATCGTTGTTACTTGGAGAAACTTGTTTGCGTCATTGGCATAATCACTTGTTCATTTCCCTGCTGGCCATACAGCAGCGAACAAATACACGTTTGAGCCTTTCGTTTACTAGAAAATTTCAACGGCATTTCGTCTTATGTTTGAAATGGCCTTTCTTGAAGTTTACTGCCCGCGAAGGTGTTACTCTATTTGGAATAGATAGTGCTGCAAAACAAAATACGATTTCCTATCTACCGGTGCCTTCGCATAGTATTCAGTGTAGCACTCAATTTGGCTTCGGTTTGGCTTGTGACCTAACGCAGGTGTCGACGTCAGATAAAGCACTTGTTGATTCCTTGTCGTTCGCCAATTGTCTAATGCCTACGCGGCAAATGACGAAGTAAGCAGACGAAGAGAAGTTCATGAAAATTCGACTCTACGGGATTTTGGTAGTCCCTATTTATACAGTAATTGACAGCAGTCATCCGTACGTCCATGTGTAGCGGCCCGTCTGCGTAGAACCGGTGCACAGCACCCCATCTTGGTCTCACGCGACCCCTACCGCATATATCTGGATTGACATTACTAGTATGTTAACCCTTAACTGCAGACGATCCGTTAATCGCCAGCCACTAAGCCACCACAACATATGATCGTTACGATGTGTAAACAATTTCTGACCATCTCTATTCGTCATTATGCTTACCTGTTTGTGCGCGTCGAACAAACACGAAAAAACTCGTTAAAACGAGTATCGTGCCGTTGTCGATAAACGCTAAATAAAAGGTAACATCAGAAGCCGACAGAGGGAAAGAGTCATCAAATACTACAAAAGTCAATCTCAAGCTTCGACAGAATAGCAGCGATTTCGGGTTTTCTGTTGCAGTTTTTCGGGTAATCTGTTGCTGAAGTGTTTAGCAGTGTGCGCGTTATTCTAATATGATACAGATCTTTAGATATCGCGTTTAATATCGCCGTCGAATTAAAATTATGGTCGTTTTCAATTGACTCTTACTGAAGTTGGTGGCGAAGTAAAGCTATATAACAGTCATTTTGAGCTACGTAACTATGAGCAAGTTTGAGTGTGAACTGAACGGTATCACAAATTTTGTGGCGTCTAAAATTTCGAATAACACGAACAAACATTTAATAACAAAACTATACACGACACTTGCATACGACCAAGGTACGCGAAGCTATCGTCGCTGCGTGTACAGATTGAGGTATAATTTATGAACGCAGTTAGGCGATTAACTAGCACCTTACTCGATCATAAAGCAGTGTCTGACCCCGCCACGATTTTGCAGTTACTCATCTAACAGCTTTGATTGCTATTATATATATATATATATATATATATATATATATATATATATATATATATATAAATTAACCACTTTACTGGAGCATACATACGTACGTACCACTGATTTAGCGGCGTGACTGGGTGAATAAAAGTTTTTTTTCTAACGTCCAAATAGAGACTTACTGTCCTTTTTTTCGAATAGTAATCATAAACGTAAGTAGCCCTAACGTAAGTTGCGCCTACTAGACGAACTCACGTCGTATCTAGATCATCCAAAAACAACTAAAAGTCTTTAATTTGGCTAAACGTAATAACCGATGACAGGTTCTAGTCGACGGTGCACGCAGCAGTAACCCATCCGCATTGTGACATTGTAATCGCCATTTATTTCATACGTATTCGTTGACTATTGCCGACGTTCAGCACAGGGCTTCTAGTAGTAGCTTCTGCTGCTAGATTTCAGCACTCATAGCTGGCCTACGCTTCCCAATGACCAGAAACTTTATTCGTTGCTTTCCCTCATGGTATCAATCGCACTTGCCAATTTTCCCTCCCTCCCTCCCTCTCCCTCTCGCTCTCGCTCTCGCTCTCACGCTGTTTCGACACATTTCCGACCACGTGCTGATTCACTCATATGCCTTACGATGGCGCAGAGAATAGCAACAACGATAAGCAGACATTAGTGGCGGCGACCCCCAGAACAATTCTGCTTCGGAGCAGTGGCTCCCGGAGGAAGCAACGAGTAGCTTCTAAGTCTACAATCGCCATAAGCGGTAATATCGCTTTTGTAACTAGGAGCTAGCAGCGAAAAAACGAGTTCACTAATGCACCAAATTAAATCGCGGTTATGAGGGCTCGACGCAAGGTGACGAGACAATTATGATATGGACGATCGGCGCTATTTGCTTGGCCGACTGTTTAAGTGAAGGTGATGCTGCGACGTCGATCGAGACTCTTCTTTAGCGCAAGACTTGTGTCAAGTTGTCGTTGTTGTTATTATTATTATGGCTGGCGTATTTTTTCATTTGTAGAGGTTCATATTGCGAGAATTCAATTAGTGTTACATATTATTTCGCCTTTCGAATGTTTTAGAAAGGTATCGGTTTGCGCGGCCGCAGGGGCTGTTAATTGTGCTACACTACTCAAAACAAACAGTACAACCGTTAGTAGCACCATTAGCAATACATGCGGCACATCGCTTGAATATATCGCTATCGCATAAATCCTGCTATTACGTCGGCCATACTCTTTATAAAAACCTAACTCGTTTTGCTCGAGTAATTCAATCGAGCGAAAAGTAACAATTAAGCGTCGTGTGCCATCCCACCGGCCTCGTAACCGCGCAGTAACCTTATTCCAAGCCATTTTCGGCTTTGTTCCCTGTCCCTTGCCCTTAACAGCAACTGTCGAATCGAGAGCTATTTCTTGTGCTGCTAAAACTCCCTATACGATTCGCTTCCTGCTGTTATTGACGCCATCACTATTGGTACCACCCTATTAACACAATGTTACTTTTTCTCATCATATCGACAATCGCCTGCCTTCGCTCCCCTTGATCGAGCGCCGGTAAACTGTTGCCGCCCATTGTCATGTCCCGTTCCTGAGCTAATACCATCCTCGTTGAGTAGGTCGAGGCAGCCTAGCCTACCCCATTACGCCTACCCGTCTTCGGGGTAGACCATCAGGCGACCCTCGGTGGCCAAACGGTAGCGTTGGCAACACCGACTCATAGATCGACCCGTGCATCAGCATCAGCGGCAAAAACAGCAGCGGCAATAGCAAACTTCGTTGCGTCCCTGACTGAACTGAAGAGGTCACTTACAACGATATCAACGAAGGACAACATAAATGGTGACAACATTCATACCTTAGTTGTGCTAATTAGTTTCAGCTGCTGTCTTAAATGTCGTTGGCAGACATTGCTAGTTCAATTCGTGTTCAGCCTGTTGAGTCGGTGCGCTTCCTGTGCTGTGGCAGACAAGCAAGCTACTTTCTGCTAGTCGCCGCTCTATTTCGATAGACAAAAGTTTCGAGTGGCTTCTGGGTTTGTTCCGTTTCGCGTGAAAATAAGAGCTAGCTTACTGCTAGCCAACGTACGGCGTGGGGTCGGAAGCTCAGAGTAGGTCAGTTGGATTCTGGTGGACGACGGGCGCGATAGCAACAACGGAGTATGCAATGCACACAGAAGTCAATAGCTACGGCCGGATCTATAGTGGTAGCTTCAAGTACAATTTGAACTGTACATGGGCTGAACATTCGAGCGTCTGTAGACGAACTGTGATTTTGTGACATTTGTTTCTATTCGCCGTCTCGCTTACATGGTGTATAGTGTTTGGTGATTTGGTTCTTGAACGTAGAAAAAGTTGTGTGGGTTGATTGAATTGAAGCCAAGGGTGGCTTATTCATTTTTTGTTAACGGCTTGGTGATTGACTTTTTCGGGTCAATTTAGCGACATTTGTTTGCTTAATAGTATTTTCGTAGAAAGAAATATAGTGCGCTATCGCGATTACTCCGCACATGCCTCCTACCGACTGGGCCAATGAAATGGTAATGTGCTCACATCAGCAGGAAGTCGTTCAGTAGCGAAACGTGTTTAGCAAAATCTATATCGCATTTTCGTCCGAAGCCGTGCATCATGTTTCATTAATGTGAGAAAGATAAAAAAAAAAGGTGAATGGCTCACTTGGATAGCTTCGTAAATCTAAGGCGAAGTTAGATACCGAAGTGACCTAAGAACTAAACGCGTAATTATCTTCTGTACCTTATAGGTCCGCCGCTGAAAGCCAAAACTGAAAAGTGAAGACTGAGATAAAAAAATAGTTAATGCACAAACGAAATCTTGGCGACTACTTAAGGCACAGTATAGCTGGAGAGGCCGTTAAGTGGGTGAATATATACATATATATATGTACGACATTGAACTGTTTACGCACAGTGGGATACACTTTGCCCTCTGTTGACATCTAATACTCATTTGATACATGCAAGTAAAAGAAACCGATTGTTGTTCCGTGGTAAAGAAAACAGGCAGTCGTTAAAGGCATCTGCTACAGTAAGCCTGCCTTACCGCCCCTGATCAATACAGAGGTGCACGACAAAAGCGCATTCAGTTGATATCGTGTCCTCAACTCTCTTGTGTATCTTATAATCGATGGATTCTGGACAATCAAACTCGCCTAAACAGCCGCGTCCTTGCGGACGAATTACGCTAAAGTTACCAAATTTCTTACGTCGTCGTCGTTCTTCTCTCGTTTCAGCACACAGCAAGATGGGAGTGTATAAGAAACTGAAGCGGGTATTCTCCTTCAAAAAGGACAAAGAAGGCCAGAAAGATAAGTCTGACAAAAGAGACAAGTATGGAAAGAAGTATGGGACCAGCGATGCGCTACAAATTAACGAGTCTTCTGAGCATAGAACATCTGACGTGGATGGCATCAAGACCGATTCTCTTCAACGGGGTGGAAAGAAGAGGTCGTGGTCTTTGAAATCTATTGCACGTAAGCCGAGCTTCGGTAACAAAGACAAGGAAAGAAAAGTCAAGGACATTCATTTCGATGCAACTACTGAGCCAGCATTCCTCAGCGACGTTATAGCACCAGCACCAGATGTCTTAACACAACAACAGTCACAACAAAGTCAACAGCAGCTGAGGACCTCGTCGTCAGCTTTTCATCCCGTGACCACCATTGCCAAGGTGGAGACTATAGCGCCCCCGACACTTCCGCTGCCATTAAATCCGATTGTGAAAGCTGACTCTAAAGAACACGATGTAAACAATGACAACGAGAGCGATGCCCCGGAAAAAGAGAATGATACGGAGAAGGATGACTTTGTCGTAGTTACTCCAACCGACGTAGAGGAGATTAAAGAATACGAAGCCCAGTTGGCAGCAGAAGGCAGATCAGTTCACGTAAACCTGGTAGAAGAACCCGAAAGCGTCGAGAACGAGGAGAGCCAAACCGCTACAGAGGAGGCAGCGCACGCCAACGCCGAACCGCAAACGATCGCCGAAATCATCAATCTGCTCCAAGAGTTACAGGACTCTGCAGAGCCAATGGAAATCGATACAATAAAGCAGAAAACTGATACATCGGACAAAATCCAGTCTGTGTGTTTGCAGGCAGATGCTGCTATCATCGCCTCTACGGATGCTACTAAACCTTTAGAAACGACTACTACAATCACAACGGTTCGAAACGGCTGCGCCAATGGGCACATAAAAGCTAGTAACGGGTCGGCAACAGCCACTGACGTGGAGACGTCGCCAGCGTACATGCCAGCATCGGCAGTAGGCCAATGTAAAAAGTTAGACATAGTCCCATCAAAAAGAAGTTGGCAAGGCCGGATTGCCGTCATTGTGGTCGTGGCTGCGATTCTCTTCGCCGTCGCGCTCGGAATTAACAACTCGATGAGATCAGGCGCCGCCAAGGCTGTCTAATCGAACGGCGTGGGTGAAGAAAACACAATGGTTGATTGATTGACACCTGTCACCCGTTATAGTGTATAACGTCATATGCGGCGACTCATCATATGGGTGAAGGCCAGTTTGAAATGATTCCGTCATAACTTGCAGCATTCGAAGACTGAGTAAGATCTCTATCAAAAGAAATCAGAAAAGGAGCAACAAATCTGCATTGTTTACAGTGTTAAAATAACGAGACGCTGCTATTTTGTGTGACATGACAAAGAAAGGCATTATCGGAAAGCTTGCTACACTATACCGAGAAAAGTAGGAATTGAAATGGCCAAGGCTGAACTTGGTAGCTATGTTTTTGCTGCTCAATACCAACAAGACCTCCTGCCGCTTTCAAATGGTGTAATCAAACAAGAGCGGTCAGAGGTGCTGTTAGAGTTTTCCTAACACGTAGATTAATCTATAATTTATCGCCCACAGAAAATACATGCGAGACATGTATTCTATTGAGGGCGAAAATCTCTAACCTTTGCTTTACCTGGGGGGTTTTAAAAAAAACAATAAGGTTTATCATCCCAGCTATGATAGACATAGCCGGTAAACAGCAACCTAAGTAGAAAATAGATCGCACAGTCGGTATTGTATATAAATAAGAAAGTACTGTCCGTGATTGTCAACAGAAACGCCGTTTGGCTAAGGTGATTTCGCAACCTATACACAAGAAAACACAAAGCATACATGAAAAAAGATAATATAATTAAGTTATTATTAAATGCTCGCCGCTTCCGTCAAAAAGTACTTTATTGTGTGTTCATTTTCAACAGGATCCTAAAAAATAGAATTGTTTAGTAGTCATGACAGAACTAAATGTAAGATATTGCCTCTCTAACGATATAAAAAAAATCGTATGAAAAAGAAGAATCATTCTAACCATATGAATAGTTGTCGTTCACGATATCGCGGAAGAGGTCTCTATGCAGAGAGTTAGAAGAATGATTTATTTGCTAGTCAGTTAAATAATGGTTTTTACGCAATGTGATTTCTGTGCAAATAGTAAGTCCAACAACTGCAAAAACAATGTCCAAACCTTTCTGCCCATCGCTCAATACTTATAATCATAATGAATAAATAAACAGCAACCAATGATAATTCGAACCAAAAGAATATAAAATAGAGAAATATGTTCAAAATTATAAATAATCGAATCGATGACCTTACCTTTCAATAGAATAAGATTTTTTTAGCTTAATTTATTGACAGCAAACGCTTTCACTGTCACCTGCTCATCAACAGCGAACTGAGACTAACCTTGAAATGACAAACCAAGCGGACCGTAGACCTTAAGATACCTCAGAGTGTAAACGGCACTTTGTTCTCTACATCCGAAGATTATACGGCATTCCCTAGAATAAAAACGTACTACGCGACTGATCTTTTTTATAGAATTGCTGAAAAATTTATTCCTTGTTTCTAGTGGTCATGTTTTTGATCTTCATTTTTTCACAGTCTCGTCATATATCCTAGTTATTTCGGCTTCATTAAGCAAAATAGCGCTAATGACAATGTATTTTTCTCTCGCTCTCTCTTCATATATATATGTTCCTTATTACTCGTTAGTGTTATCATCATAACCATCGCAGGATGATTTTGATCACAGCAGGTTGTGATCCTAAGCTCTCTCAGCTTGGCAACGTCCATTCATTTATTTATAGAACTGTAAATGACCTATATTCTAAGTTTAGTTTCTGCGAAATGAGTTAACATTGTGGTCCTGCGCCTGCTTGTTTCTCTTCATCGGACGGGAAAAGTGGCTGGCTTGCGACACCCCAAAATCCGGAGTTAGCACAGAATCGCGAGCTATCCAGTCGTCCACATACAATACCCTTTCAACTGAATGCACATAAACCTAAGCATTCACAAAAGAAGGAAGTACACAAATATACGATACAACCGTCACACCCACCAATAAAATGTTTCCGTCGAGAAGCCGAATACCCTCAGAATACGTGCAAGTCAAACTCGCTGGGCTCGCTAATATGAATCTTCTGATAAATATAGAGTTTTTCGACAGAGAAAAGAGTGAAATCGTATTAAACCTGGACAAATATTGCAAGTTTTATGTCCGGTACTGTTAAGCATTGTTTCAGACAGCTCGTGTCTCTCATATTAAGACTGATATCATAGAACTAAGCTATAACTAGTTCAAGAATAAAAGCGTTGACAGCCGTAAAGCACAGTTATTAATGTTATCGCTGTAATAATAATAGTAATTATAATAATAAAATAATTATAATAATAATTATTAATATCATCATTTAAACAACTCTTTGTGCTTTGTTATTGTTTAAAAGCAGCACTCACATTATACACATGCACACATGTAGTAGACTAGAAATCATTAGTCATTTTATGGTCAATCAAACAAAACATTGTATACACTCGCTCTGTGTTCATGTGCCAAGCAGCACGCAAACACGTCACGAAACTAACATATCGTCCTCCACATTGGGCGCTCTACTTGGGTTTAGCTAGCTCGAGGTAGTCCTTTGGAAACATTAAAACTTATCAAGGTTCGCGTGATAGAGTGTCGGCTTGTATCGTGGTGGATTTAATTTCGGTTGTTGCAAAGCTATAGGCAGAGATGAAATATGTTCAGAGTGATATTTAAATCTTAGTCAGCAAACGGATTTTCGACACTCGCAAAGAATTCAAACAAATAAATTTGGGATTTTACTATTGACAGGCCTAAAGTATCATTCCAAGTAACGTCAACGATCTTTCGTTATTACTTTCCTATTCCGCAGTCAATTATGGAAACGTCATGTTTCGTGTATACACACACATCTATCCACTGAAACGCCCATACAAGCGTCGTGGCTAAGATTAATATCTTTGCTTCGCTTGGCATTCAGTAATCCGTCCGTTTGTATTTTTGCCTGACGCCATATTCGCCAACTCTTATCTTAGTGCGTTCCAATATCTTTTGCTTTTAGCGACTGGACAACATTGTTCCAAAGGAATTGTCACGCTGCACTTAATAGATACCGGCTAATCTACCGGTTAAGCGCATTCATTTCTTCTATACTCGTCATGTAGACACTTCAAGTCAGTCGGGACCCAACTTCGTTCTTTCACCTAACAGTTTAATAATAATAACGTAGCGTTATTCATATTGTAGTGTTTTGTTCAGTACCAAAACAATTGACATTGTGCCTATCGATAATAGAAAAAACATCACTCTTTTTGTAGGCGGCATTATGGAAGCACTACAAAAAAAGATGCTACAAAATCGCCTATTAATTTCACTTATACACGCATCAAACGGTCACAAAAACGTCATTTCAAATTTAATGCTGACCAAACACATTTATGGACTACTAAAGGCTTCGGTGAATCAAAAAAGCCCACATAAAGCTAACGCAGTGGATCTGTCTCTTTTTAAATGAGTTGTTTCTTATTTTAAATCTCTTTCCCATATGCACATCGCACCCAACGAAGCTGATCTCTCATTTGGCTCAAGAGGCCTGAATTTTTGATAGAGGCGACTACTAAAATGACTCAAACATCGCTCCACGTGTGTTAAAACTTTTTTTTTTGTTAACTGAATTTTTACGCCATAGTGATCCACTGTTATTCTTGTTGGCACAGGGACTCTTGACGTTTTCGCGTCTTTCAACCCTATGCGACCACACTTGTCTGCAGTCAACAATTTCTGCAGTGGGGCCGACTAGGATCTTGTACAGTTTAATTTACCTGTATAGCTCTGTCGTTACTGAGACGATCACGTGTACTAAACGGCTCGTATTGGATAAATACAGTCACAGATAATTTTCCACCGGGCGACACATTTTGACTCCACAGAACGTTCTCATATGTACGAAACAATCTCTGGAGTGTCTCGGAATCGCGATACATTATTTCGACAGTAAATGCCACTTTCAAAGTACTCAGAGGGAGCGAAAAGCAAGTGTTTCACTAGTTCATGGTTAGTACAGCGGTATTCATTAGAGTATTATGGATTCATATCTCTTATAAGCGATGCGCGTTAACTATATTTAGACTAACTGCTCTCCTTGGCCCAAGGTTTTCCATCACGCATCCATGAGAGACCTTGAAGACGTTGCGGACTCTTCGAAACATCGTTGGAACACTCAGATGAATCCAACTGCAATGGGATGCAAAGTCAATATAAAAGTTAGACATACATGATTTATGTGAAAATAGATAAAATAAAATACTAGAGAATTCGAAATACGGCAGAAATAATTGACCACACTTGTCAAGGGGTATCAGTAGTTCACGTGGCGAAGGTCTTATTGAGTTCTTCGCAATTACGACAGGTAATTTATACGCAAACCAATAGGGAAAATCAAATCGTGTTTCTAAGAAAATCAAACGCGTACTCCTTAAGCGAGTGTCAGATTTCTAATAGTACCTCTGTCGCCCACAAATATTTTTAAGGAGAAGTGTAAAACGATTCAGTAGCAATGCTTTGATGCAAAACTTGCAAAGGAGTCGGTTTTTTCGTAACCTGATCAAGAAAGGAGAAGGTTTAGAAATAATGGACTAAGCAGCGCTGTACATATTGATTCAACGCTGTGCGGTTGGTAGGATCGCAACGACTAAATTGCGTAAAAACGACATGCGCTTCTTGTATTGTATATTAACACAAGACGATGAAATTTACTCAACGGAATTTTTTTGCATGTTATAAAAAAGTCCTTCCTAGCGGTCGTATTTATTCAATATATCCACCATCCACCCCAATTCCAGCTTTCAAACTAAACCTAACCCGCATTCTAATCTGCTTAAAAAATTCCTTCCTTGATTTGTAAATAATTTTTGAATAGTGAGTGGATGTCATACGACATTGGAAGGTGTTAACGCGCTAAAGTGTCAGTCAAATACGCTACATATTCCGATAATATCAAATTTCGGCCGAACAGCAAGGCAAAAGTCTCAAAGTGCATAAGTTTTAAACAGCCTCACAATGCAAAAGGTGTGAAAATGCCCAAAAAGTTTTAAAAATACTAACCGTCTGATTATCCAATCGGCAGTTGATGTTCTGCTTTCTAAAACAGCTGTTTATTTTATATCAGAAACTTAGCGGTATCAAACATCGCTTTTTGAGCAATTTTAACGAATTTTAGAGCATTCAAATCTAAACTCTACCAAGGATCATCTAATTTTTCTCACTAAGTCATACCTGGATCCTTCAAAAGTTGCATGAAAGCTGGCAATTATGTAAATTAATTATTTCGGGCAAAAGAAGATTTTTAATCTCGGTGGGAGTTAGTCCAACGCGAAGCATTGCGTGATAATGCATCTTAGCTCAAATCCGAAAACGACGCGCAGTTGCTCGGCATGATGAGTTTGTTGTATTATTTTAAAGTGAATACGCTTTCGTCTGCTGCCAGGAGTAACAGGCGCACGCATGCCCGTTACGGCACACAGCCCACCAAAGTGTTTCTCAAATTTACCATACACACACATATATATATTTATATATATATATAAAGAGAAAGAGATTTGATATAAACAAGTTATTAATTAATAATAAACAAATGAATAAAAGTAAAAATTAATTGACTTTTAAATAGAAAAAATCGATTGAGGGGAGTACTCTGATTACGGTTAGTTCCCATCATCTTCATAACGGTTTCAACGTCTACATACTCGAAGGCTGAACAGAGAAGCTTCATCAAGGGAGAGAGAAAGATCGCTCACATCGTGGGCGACGAAGTCAAAGCTGTTCGGATCACCCCCAGAAGGACTCTCGCGTTGCAGGTGCTCAAGACACTGAGCGACACATTCCTCCGCAACCCTGTCAATAAAAATTTAAAGGCGAAATCGGTATCACTGCGTTAATAAGGACACAATTGAGCTATTCCGAAGGCTACCTCCTCGATTACAGTTAGTGGACCAAACAAGTACTGGTTTTTCGCTAATCAGATTATCCTCAAAGGCGAATTACATTGTAGTTTTTAAAGTTAAATCTATGAAATTGATTTTTTATAGATATTAACAATTATGGCATAATTAAATTAACATTTTGTTTTAAACCTATTTAACGGATCTTCACTAGATAAGGTTAAACCTGTGCCTAAATAATCAAAAAAGATGTTGTCGTTATTTTATACTTAATATCAGAATGATAAAAACACGCCCCTTAAAGGTCCATTGACTTGCTAGTTAAGTGGCTGCCAAAATTATCGAGTAAAACCTCAGCATTATACTTCGAAATGTCTACTTTTTGGAACTATTGAATAATTCACTGTGACTGAAAAACTGTGAGTATTAACTCAATTGCTGTTATAAATAGAAATATATGTGCATGCAAAAGGTTCATTGAAATGAAATATTTCTTATTTGAATGTTTGCTTACAAAAAATAATAACTAAAACACACTTAAACGGCATTATCCTAGAAAGCGACACTAATTCGACCGTAGAAAGAAGATCGCCTGACTTAGAAAATATAGAAAACAAAATGTGTTGTTTCATTTAAATTTATAAAGAGAAACAAATATTAAAAATAACATTGATAATTTACACTTTCTATATAACAACTGGTCCTTTTCTTATTTTTTACTTCTATTATGTACAACAAAAACACTCCATTTCAATAAACCTTTTACATGTACGTTCATTTCTGTTTACAACAGAAGTCGAGGTACAAAGTTTAGAAGCATTTTCGAGTCTATTTACAATAAAATCGAAAATTCTTCTAAACAAGGCGTGAGGTATTCGATAGTTTTAAAATAAAGACTAAGGTGAATTAAATAAGGGTCAACAAAAGGCTGGCAAAAAAATGGCTTAAAAATTCTGTAAAACGACGAAGAAAATGTTTTGAAATTTGCCTGACCAATGCCATATGATATACATGCCCATATAATAAAATTGCAGCTCTTTATACTGCCTTAATAAAGCATCACTTACCGCTTAAATTCATCTTTGTTATTGACGTAGAGTTTATAGGCTTCCCGATTGGAAGGTTTAATCTGCTCAGGAATCTCTTCAAAGAGCGACTTTACAGCTTCGACAACTTGATAAATGTGATGCACATCTCGTCTAAACCAAAACAAGCCGAAACAAGATAGTCAAGTATACGTTTACGTAAAGATAAAGGAAGAATGCGTGGACTCTTTCCTCGGTACGCCATCGCTCAGGTAGTACCTTCAAATTTCAAAGGTAAATATCTAATCAGTAGACTTACACCCCTAACTTACTTATTTAAAAAAAAAGTTATAGTTTTTCAACCCAAGTATGTTTTTCTAACCCTAAAAACAATATAAAAGCGCCGTACTTTGAGAGACACATGCTACCTCTATTCGACCTTCGTAGATGCGTCTCGGTAGCTAATACGCAGGCAGACTCGTTTTCATGGTCATATGACGGCTGTGACCCAGTAACACAGTTATTACATGTTATCGAATAATTCTGCCCACTAAATTATCTAACGTTTCAACACCGTTCAGTCGTAGCCAACAGTTAGATCATATCAGAGAAGGTTAGTGGCATCTCGAAACAGGCAATTTGCAGCGGGATTCGCTCCGTTTAGGTAAGGGTCGGTCGCAGACATACACAGTCAACGAGGAAATGATAATTGATGTGAATAGACTTAGCTAAAAACTGGATGTAACTCTAATAATGGCGTATCAGTTTCAAGTACATTTTGTTACTACTGTTACAGACATTGATAGTTAAACATTGTAGACTTACAGATATGCAAATCTTTTTATTATTATATTATGAATGGATGAAGTATATCTACGTACACTTATACGATAGTATGACATATACAACTGCATGTTAAGATATCCCCCAAATGTAGGCTTGAAAAATCTGCTATATTATTAATATAAAAGTCAACAATATAATCCATCGTCTTCTGGAACTTCAAATGTAAGGCAATTATTTTCAATCGCGTCTAGCAGACACATTCGGCGAGCGCGCCATAAAAACACATATCCTAGTTCTTACTTTAACTAATGGTTCAATACGAATTTTTAAGCCGAACGAACAAATTTAAACACTCAACAGTTGGTTACCTCCATTTGTCTATTTTACACGAAATGTCCATCTCGCCCGTAAGGGCATTGACAAGCGGATGGAAGACGGGGGGGTCAAAAGTGACCCTTGGAACACCCCCCTCAGGATGAAGTGCGGAAAATGATAGCTGAGCTCGAAACGCACCCCCTTCGAAGACACCCCCACGAATAAACAGCACGACAAACCATTCTGTGAACATAATAGGTCGCGTAATTAGTAGAGGTATTAGAAAACAGATATACATTATGATATAAGTATACTATGCTCAGTTGTATTATTCTCATTATTATTTCATATAGAGACCAGCAGATCTATATTCAAGATAGCAGCTGAGAAAGCTACATTCTACAGTACGATAACTACAAGTGATGACATTGGCCAACAACAACCAATTGACCTACCACCGATTGGGTTAGTTTATACCAGCGGTGAATGCCACGGCTTTTAATGTCAAGGCTTTTGTCTAGGTTTGGTTTTTTAATACCTTCGGCTATTTTTAGCGTGTGAATAAGCCTTCGGGGTCGCCTATTTGATATAGTATCAAGAACTTGCCTCCACTTGAAAATCAAGCCAGGGTGGGTCTTGTTGGGCTTCTGTGAGGTTTCTTTGCCCGGGATGGGTTACAACAATTGTTAGTTATATTATAAAATAAAAGCTTAGCCATTATACATCACTTCATGTGCTTTGGCTCCTCACACATATTAAGGAGGGTCATCAGTGAACTGCTTTAAAAACAACGGTTCCAATGCAAACGGCCAATCATCTCCTAAAAATAATGACCTTCGGATATACTTGTAAGTGTTTTACTTTCAGCAGCTGTTCCTTCAAATAAATCGCAAATGACTGTGATAGAGAAAGCGAGCTGTAACAGCACCCAGTGACGTTGGAGTAAATACCACAAAGCAGTGTTGGATGGGACCCGGATGTAAATATCTCTAGCTAAAACAGAGTGTCAAGGCGGTCGGTTACTCAGATGACACAATGCAACAGCAAAGTTTACCATATAAAGAAAAAAAACAAGTAACGATTTTAAAAACTATCTATTATAAATAAAATCGTACCTGCCTCGACATATTTACTTAGCGTAGCAAAATGCAGAGCAGATCGTCGTTGCGGTACGATACCGAACCTATATAAAAGTTGTATGTTGGTATGACGCAGATTACTAACAGCATTCTAACAGGACCTTAGGGGCTGTTTCAGGGAAAATTTAGCAGCGAAATGTGTAGGCTACAGTAAAGAGCATACCCTTTATATCAGAATCAATAAGAAAAAATAGAACTAGTTGGCTACGAGTTGTCAAGATCGTTCGACATTTGACGAATAAATATGCAATATTGTTTTCTAATAATTTATTCCCAGTGCAATAAATGGCTACGAGACGTATTTAAAGGCAACAAAGCAACCAAACGGATCTCTGTGGCAGAAACGCGATAAATGGTAGGATATAGAAAAGTCAAATATTATATGGCTGATTTACATAGCTCATTGAACGCTGTGGTTAGACAACCACAGCAACAATTTCCTGTTTCTTCACCTTTGATGGCCGAATAGTCAATTTTCGCATTGATCCAAAGTGCATCAACAATGGAAGGCCATCTTTAAAACCAAACCACAGCAGAGCTTTGTGTATATAACATATGTCAACGCTAAATTATGAAATGAAGTTCAGCCAGGCTGATCATGGATGGATACTTACTTAACGCGGACTCAAACGAAGGCATTATATACACGCCAGGAATAAATCGTTTCCTGAATATAGCACTGAAAAGGAGAGTGAGATTATGCTAATGACAATATGGTAATTAAAATTCATGTGCCGATATACAATCAAATGTATTTAACCCCTCCATTAGTCCTAATTGTATATACACAACTTAACGCACCTTTCAACGTACTAGCAAAAGGCCTCGTATCAGTAAGTGCATAATCTAGACTGTGACGTCACTTTACTAGAGGATGTCAACTTTCAGCAGAACTGAACGAAGATTATGTATATTTAGCCAGAAAAGGCAATAGATTTTTCATGTCTTAACGACGATCAAGGACAACATGAATTTATAACAAAGCAATCCAACTTGTTCAAGTCATCTTTATTATGGTATGTCGGACTGTAGTAACGCAGCTCACTGGCTGGGCTGTAATAGTCGACTCCCAAACACCGGAGCAATACACGGATATTTTTAAGTAAAATTAATTCTGAACAGAAGAATAAAAGAAAACGAAAAAAAATCATTATCTTCGTTTATAAAATGTAATGTGCCGTCATAATACAAACTTACTACTCATTCATGAGGGTGTATTCAAGAAATGCGTTACTGTAGGTTCTTAGGATCTCCAATTTTGGAGCAGGATGACTTTGATGCAGTTGGGAGACCATAGTGGCCGTGCCCTTTCCTGTGGAGCCCTTTAAAGTTGATTTTGGGGATGATGAAGAAGCTTCCGGATTGCCCCTTTCTGCTGAGGCCGAAGTTGTCTGTAAGTTCAAACAGTACGCATAAGCCACTGGATAAGTAAAGTTACTAGACCTAGGAAGTGCATATAGTCGACTCGAGTAATACACTACCTCAAGGTTAAACCTGTTAGTAACTTTAAAGTAAACGGACTGTCATATTATAAAAAATAATACCGAATGTACTTATGCCTGAATGAAACTGTGGTTGCTAGAGGACAATTAAAATACATTTGTATTACGTTAATGTTGGCTAATAATAACATTTCACATTAATAATCATTAAAGAGGCTCTATAAAAAAAAAAACGGTATTTCGGGTTAAAACTTCACTTAAGTTTAACTTCCATAATCTACGCAAGAATAGAATGAAAGACACCTTAAGTTGAAAATGGACTCTACTTTAAAATATTTGCAGTTGTATTATTTAAAAGTCGGGCTGATAACGACCACTTATAATAAATGGAAAAAGTAGCTACGTAATCTCGTAGAACTATTCTCTAAGCTACCAAAACTTGTTGGATAATAATAGAGTGTAGCCTGAATAAGTTCAAAATTTCTAATTCGCAATGTGCATCATCGTTTTACGAAAGCTAAAGTACCTCATATCCTATTCTCTAACTAGTCGCGACTACATATAGTTTTCACGGTGAGGAAAGAAAATCAACTTAAAGGTTTCGTTAAACACCCATTTAATTCAGATGCCCCGTAACATTCGTCTTTCAATTTATTCCAGACAAATATTTCTATGTAATTTTTTAGTTTAGAATCGAGAAACGCATCTTCTAGATTTCCATTCATTATAGGACGCTTTTACGACGCTGTACACAGAACCATGTACTTTCTCGTACACCTATGGTAATTACTGATGATATTATTGATTGGTGACATCGCGCTTTCCTAATCCTATATATATATATATATATATATATGTAACTTGGCTCGGTGGTCAGCACCGTTAAGTCCATGCAGTGAAAAGTACAGATACGTATTCTTGGGGAGCGTCTACCGATGTTTTGAAACTTATATTACTTATGAAATAACAAGTGGTTTATTCAGAAGTAGAAAAACAACTATACTTACTGATTTTCCCTAGCTTCAGATAATGTGAGGTTCAGTGGATTACGAATGTGTCTAAGTTTTGTAACATGTAATATGTCTGTTGTGAAACTCACATATTGTTCGAACTTGATAGTATTTTTGAATCCTGCTATTTTATATGTTACTCATGTAAATGACGAATTTTAGAAACATGGTTTCAGATGAGTTTTCAAGGGCTTCGTCTAAGATGCTTCATAAACACAACGTTAAAAAAATAGTTAACTGTAATTAGTCCAAGTTATTTTACGTCAGCCAAATGTTCCACAACCGTATATGTAGTCAAAGCTTAGCTTTTTGACAGACGAAACAGTTAGAAACATCGTTTGCATAAAAATTGACAGAAATTTTCGGATCTATCTATCCTATTCCTGTTATTCTAAAGCAATATCATTCTGCGAACCCTCTTTTTTTAAAGGTGCAACTCGTTTTGGTCCGAGACTGATGGATCACGAAGTGAACCACTGGCCAGTGTTATCTAGAGGAATGAACTATCTAGGAATATCAGAGGAATGAACTTTATTTTAGTGTTATCTAGTCACTTTGGTTAAAAAACTATGCTAGGCATCTATTTTATTATATTTTTGAGTAACGTTGGCGCTAAGGGTGTCATTTGCCGACCGGATCGAATCACACTATGATAAATATAGCATTAGGAATACTTAGACCTAATTTCTAGAGCTTCACTTCAACCTCAGCTTTATCACCAGTGAATGCTTTATAAGCATGGAGCAGTCATTTTTCCGGGTTAGTTTTGTTAGAAGAGCCAATACGTTGGTGCAGTGTGTCAATATAGAATTTCAATAATCTAATGAAATCATTGTGCATGATTAGTTAGCATATGGCCTTAACAGTAATCTTAACAGTAAAATGAATGATACTTTTTAAAAATATTTTCAACTACATTTCTTTTTACAGTTGAAGTACTTTGATTTTAGTCCATTACATATATATATATATATATATATATATATATATATATGTAATGGACTGTATGTATGTATGTATGTATATGTATATATAAACGCTTTTATCAGACTGTTGTAACATACACCATTTACTATAGACTGGATTTATAAGCTCCATGTTCATAGTGGCATAAAATCCAATGCTAGTCGGTGACACAACAACTACGTTACGTAATGAAAATATTAATATAATATAATATATTAATAAATAAAATATTAATATAATATAAATAATAATATAAAAAAGTTTAGGTACTCTGTTTATCTATTGGATTTCTCTAAACCTTGCTATACTAAGCATTTTCTTACTATAAACTCATCACCAAATAAGTAAAAGTTCAAACAGTTCATACTCACCTTGTTCTTAGGCACCATATTTGCCCCTCTTTCGGCTGGATTACATTCAGTTTCTGTAGAAAATTGACAGAGCCCGTTTTCCGCTTTGTTCCTATCAATTTCCTATTTTACTGTTCAGTGTCAACCATAATAGTTGTGTTTTATTTCCGTAATGAACTAGTAAAGAACGCTCCTTTGGCAACCACTCATACATGGCCAAATACAGACACAATAATAGGAAAATAACAGCGATGTCATCTTCATCAAAACGTGTTCACTCGAAATGCACTTGTACATCTAAGTGCGCTCCGTATAATAATACCTATCTTCATTGAGTGTTCGATTGTCTCTTGCGTGGCATCTGCTATTCTATACTAGTAGCCTACACTATTTTGAACGCACATTTCCCGAAACATCCTCTCCAAACAGCAATACACACGATGGTCAAAGCAGGAATTTTGAAAAAAAATACCCCTTTCAACGGGATGAATATTTTTCTCATGCTACCGCTGTTCGTGCAGCCCGTCGAAAAGATGTACGTTCGAGAGATTTCAGTGCTGTCAACAAACAGTGGCTGTTGATGTGGCTGGGAAAGAGAGGAGCGCGAGTGGGTTAGCCGGAATCTTGTTTTCATGTGCGAAAGCAGTGACTATTTGACAGAGTGCAGTGCGCTGGCGATGTGACTTTATCTGTAGATTCGTTACGAAGGAAAAATAACAGACGTATTCTAGAAAAGTTCTTCTAAAGTTAGCATGTATATTGATGCCAGTGTCACTTAGAGCGGAAAAATCACGAAGTTGTTGTTAAACGTTGTTTTTTAATAAGTTTGATCGAGTTCAGTCTTGCGCATAGTAATCGGTCTGTGTTCCGAACGCGAGCAGCGCTTTGAAAGAAAGTAAATTTATAAACGGAGATGGGAATGGTGTATTATTATAGAAGTACCACGGTGAACTGATTGTTTTTTTAGTACTGTTGAGATTGGGTAAGTTTAAGAACAACCAGACACATATAAGGAAACCGTTTTAAAAAAACAATCAGCTGCCATAAGCTGTCGGAAAGAAATATAGACCAAGAGAGGTGGAAGCTATATTTTTGTTGTAAATGTATAGTATGTTTGTTTTCTTTGCTTTTTATTAACTTTGTTTGCGGAATATTGTCGGATCTTAGGGTATGTGCAATAAGACTCGCTGCAACGTTTTCGCTAGCTGTCAGAATGGTACATTGTAATTAGTGTCAGCGTTTTCTTTTGAAACCTTTAGTAAGTTTTTTAACATACAAACGCATTTTTTCTTTTAACATATTAAATTATGAATTTTTTAGGGTTTAATTAACGTCAAGCACATTAACGATGTTTTTCGAATTCAACAAGTTTCTGGCTACCGGAACCGCGAAGGATTTTCTCTTGATATCCTCCAAGGGGTCCAGCAGCCATAATTTTGTCATTTCGCATCTTCTGGTAAACGCTGCTCGAAACCGTAAAAAGGTAAGCTAAGTCAGATAAACTGGAAACTTTTCGCTTTTTAAAAATGTTAGGACATATAAAGGAAAATGAGTTGTTTACATCACACCTTTTTTTTACAACTCTGCTTTTGCAAACCTTGGTAGATAATAAAATCGTTTTTGAAAGTCCATCTTGAATAAACTAAAGGCCTTACCATTGAACGCCAGTCCAAAGTTCCATGCGTGATGAATGCAGAATTATCTTTGACCGAGTCATGTATATTTACCCAAAATTCTTTATAATTTTCTGAGCGGGGCAGTACTAACATGATTTAAAAACACTTAATGGGGTGGTTTAGGTTCGAAACCAGCGCTATACATTTTTCGTTTTATGTTGGAAGGGTTCAGTCATTGGATGCACTACCTATGATTAGTACAAGACGTAAAACTCGAACCATTTATTTAAATCCAGTTTTGATAGCCCTACTTAGAAATCGCATCATACAAGGTTGTGCGTCTTAACAGAAACAATTGAATACATTTTAGGTTCAGCTGATATGCAGCGGAGAGAGCTTTCAATTCTACTTGGTTGTATGCAAACGTGCCGGGGTGTGTCTTCAAGATATGCAATCGTCAGGCAATTTGCGTGCCACTTGCCTCGTCTCGGCTTGGAAAGACCAAATCTCAGCTGGACACTTCCCAACAGTACCAGACATCATCACAAACGATGTTAATTCAGATGAAGATCTCCTGATAATCGATGACTTGGGACCCTTAATAGACTTTGCGACATTATCGGAAGTTATACGAATGATGCACTCGTTGAAATCATTAGTGCCGGGCATGCTTGCTGTGGGGATGCGGGCAGACGATAGCGGATCAGAGCATGTGATGAAGCTTGTTCGAACAATGTGCTCCATGTGGGTGGAAGCGCACCCTTTAAGCACAGGTTATTCGAAAGAGGTCCATGGCGTACTTGAGATGGTGTCGTTCAAACCGGATCAAGGTGGCACCACGCACAAGACGATGCATTATAGAGCAACGGAAAGAGGTACCAAACTTCTTGTAATAGGGGGACATGTCGCAGCAGTTATTTAGTAAAGCATACATTTAACTACAAACAAAAAGCAAGTTGACGTAGCTTTATTTTAGGTACGTATTCTTTGCATATTTTTTTTTGCATAATGTTAACCAGGCGTGAAAAAACTCCGCGTTAGTATCACAGTAGTAACGCATGTGTTCATTGAACTTATGAACACGTGAAATGGTCTAGGCTTGAAATCGGACGTAGACTTATTTCGATTCGGATTCGGAGCGGCCATTTGTAGCAATGCTTAACCAAACGTCAAGACAAACGCGTTTTGTTTATAGATATATCAAACAAGAGCTAGAAAAAATTGACAAAAAGAAGCATATTTAAATGAAAAAAAAATGTAACATTTTTTTTTTAATTTTGTACATCTATTTATTATATAAATGTTTTTATAATATCGAGCCTTTTCGCATTTTGTCGTCTAGGGTGACTCTGGAGACAGAGCGTCATTGATGGAGACTTTTTGAGCATTTTTTACGACTTTCGTGGCGTCCAGTTTTTTTACAGGTTTTCGCGCGGTATTAATTTCGTTCTGCGATGTATCAGAGCCTCCTGTAATGAAAAACTTTGATATTACAAAATTGCGTAATCAGCGTGTATGCGGTTTATGAAAAATACAAAAAATGTTTTCAATTTGGAGAGGAAAATATTTGCTGCCTATCGAATCGTATATATATAAATATGAGCTTCAGTGATTAGTGTTATTACGTTTATTTCAATGTTTAAATATTTGTTGTTTTTTTGCTGTTTTGGAGCTTTGTATTTTTAGAAGAGGTTTTAACCTGCTATCAGTCCAGAAGTTTGTTCTGCTTGATTTTTTGTATATATGCGTACTTGACCGACGATTGCTATATTTGCCAATACTTCTGGATACACGACTACTATTAAAAAGTTATTTACGTATTTGAGAAGCAATATTTCAGAGGGGTTTAGTGAGTGGCTAACTCCTGGAACTATAAACGGAATAGAGGTGAACGGACGTTACATTTAATAAGCGTCACTGTCAAAAACTACGTCTTTAGTATATTGTAAGCCTTTCGTTAAAAAGTCTGTGTGCGTTTTTAATTGCAGTGTTGGAGATAACTCTTAGGAAAAAGTCGTCTGAGTTGAATTTCATAGCATCTATGTCTCTCTCCCCATCTCTCTCTAAATATATATATATATAAACACATGGGGTACCTCATTTATTTGAACACTTTTCTTGACTTTACCGGACATTCCTAAAGCAAAATGTGTGCGTTCTTTTGACAATCACCCACAATAAAGTTACAGAACCAGCAGCAGAAATTTAGGTAGCAGCTACGGCATTAGCAATGCCGGCTTCGAAAAATAGGGACTCTTCAGGATCAACGCACGTACCTCTGCTTGACAACATCTACCGGTTGTGCAATCAGCGTTCATCAGATTCCTATTATTTGATATGTCTATTCGTTGCTAAGTCACCGTCAGCTTCGTTCGACCCTTCAACACCAGCAATATCACTAATAGCGTTAAGCAACTAAATTGAATGACACCAGTTGTGGTGACACAACACAATTGTTGATAATACTGTTGCTACCCAACCTATACTTTCAAGCTTAATATATGCCTGAAAATCATCCAGATATTATTCTGATGGGCGGTTCATCACGGCTACACTATACTATAGAGCCACAACCCATCGCGAGATATATCAGCTCAATACCGACGCCCCATAAACGCAACGCCAACACAGTCATAGCCTTCCGATCTAACTTTGGCCAAATATTTGACCTTGATGCACGTAGTCAGTTACGTGAAGTACGTCAATTCAAGAAATGGTTATGGGACAGCGGGAAATCTAATAAAAATCCTAAAACTCCACATAGCATCATGTATACCATATACAAGACAACGCACACAGTAGCGGTGATTTCTAATTCAAGCTAGTTCTAGGGCACATCTGTGAGCAATCGAAATCGATAGTAGAATAAAATTTGACGGTCGAATAGTTTTTGTACAAATCCGCTCATAAATATCGGACCTCGCATCCAGTTGTTTGCCGGACATCTTAATCATGTAAAGTTTACGATGGTGATTTCTGCCCTAATAAATGTCCCGCACCATTAGTAATTAAGCAATATATGTAAATATACTACTTTATACTTTGACTTACACGAAGCTGACCTTGAAGAGATCGCCATTTGATCTATTTCAAGTAATCATCTGCTATCGCTATTATTGTCGTGAGGTGCGGTGTATTAGAATAAATGAAATCAGTAGGAAAAGGGCTATGTATTAGCACAAAAACATAGTGTCTCCTACCTACAGATTTCCCTGAACTGCGTAAAGAACTGAGAATGAAATACGGCATTTCTTGAGAAACATTTGGTCGCCCATTAGAGCATAGTAGACTGCATATGATGATGTCTTGATGAAGCTCACCAGACCTCCACTGTATATTTTGAAGATCAGAATCTACACTTCGATTCGTACCTCGAAAAACCTCGGGAATATTGTTTCTAGGCTTTTGCTATAATCTCAACAGGTTTGATTCACGAATATCAATAACATGTTCATAGTAAAATGATTACCAAAAGCGCGTCCTAGTCTATGAAACGTTATGTTTCTGTATGTATGAAATCTGCGTTTTTGTTGAGCAGAAACCTGATTTTGATTTTAAGAGCTATTGCCATTTGCAATGCTATTGGCATCAAGCGAGTCCGCATCCGAAACTGATTGGTTTCCAATCGGAAAGCTGATGCTAGCACTATGAACACCCGAAGAATTTGTCGATCAGTTTGGATAGTTAGATGATGACATGCCGAAGGCTGACATATCAAATTGTTGAACTGTGAACGGCCGAGAAAATCTTATCAGTGTGTATACCGATTTGTCGCAAAATTACATGATTATTACAATACAGTAAACTACTTTGCTAGCGGCAGGCGACTCAGGATTTTAAGGTCTTCGTTAAAAATCCGGGGATGCTCATAAAGCTCGATGAAGTTCGGTACCAACGGTTTTTGTATAAAGTTATAATGACTTTGTATTAAAGTAAAAGCGAATACGCACAAAAGCATTCCTGGAGCGTTCCCGCACGTAGCATAGGTTCTCAGTCCTAACCCTCAATACGCACACCTAAGAGGTATGAGGTATGTGCTTGGGAACTTTAGGAACAAAATGTTAAATCTCCAAACGACTTCTGAGAACAGCGTTAGGTTAATATGGATGCATATTTATGTGGGCTAATGAAATTTATAAGCAAGTTCTGGACACTGTTTCTTTTCAATTTAACCAAAGTAAGTAAGCGACATAAGTGACAAGGAATTTGAAGAACATTATTAAGTTTAGCGATAACTCTAGAGGAAATAATCGTACGTGTTAGTGAGGCGTTGTAAACAGCCGTCGGCTTTGTTGAATCTAGTACATTAATAAATACGTACGGTCAGTAAATGCTTCTCTGCGCAGGTTAAGTATTTTTATGAAACGAACACTTAATTTATAAAAAGTTTTCGTTTACCGAATGTGATACGGCGTTACGAACGCCCTATCTGTTTAAGTAGTTAGTGTGACTTCACTGCGTGTTATTATGATCATTGTACATGTTCCCTTCCCACAGATTTTCTGCACTGATTTCATTTATGTTATTTTCGAAAATGGTTCAGACGTTTTCTGGTGTAAATCGACTATTCCCGCTTTTTGCTACTTTTATTGTACAAAACTCTTACTTTTTGAAATAAATACTTTCAATAAATCGCAGATAACTCAAATTACGAACGAATAACGCTTATGCGAACATGTGAATCGAATATATCGAATATGTATATATATGTATAGGAAATCGTAAATACGACATAGAGAATTCATAGAGTAATCAATAGATCTTTAATAAAATACTTACCTCTGTCACCAGCCATGTTAGTTGCATTATTAGTTTTCGTCGTGTTCTCTTTGTACCATTCGGGTTCATGTTTTCTTATGAAGTCCATTATTTGTTTACCGTAAACGCCTACCAGCACTGAAAGCGCTATCACAGCGGTAACAGTCAATACGCCGCAAACAAGCACTGCATAGATCACTTTAGAGGAAGCTGAAATTAACAACACAAATGAATAAACGGTGCAAGATTTTTGTCAAACAGTGCTGCTGTTAAGCACTGCTTCACATGGTTAGCTCCCAGAATAAGCACACTTATGCTTCATATAGAACCTAAACTACTTAAAGTACCTAAGTTTAGTGATAAATATGATACCATTGCACGATACTGAGGGCAGAAAATCAAGAGCACGGCCTCAGTATAACCAGTTTTGAGATGCGTTTTGGTACCTGAAGGTAACAACCTAGGTTAGGCTTTTTTATAGAAACAAAATGTATGCAGAGCCAAATTTATCTAAGGTGAAAGTCTCAAATGCAACGCGATAATTTTGTGACGATTTTGATTGATGCTTATACTCAACCTACATTACTTCAAACCACAGGCAACTGTAAATCAATGATAAAGCGCCTATATTTTTTGTTTGGAATATGTACATTAGAAGTATGGTACCAAGTTATTTTCTTGATTTCTTTTAAGATCGCTGCACGAAGGTTGTACATGGCCGGATATATATCACAAAGGCAAACTGAAAACGCACTATAACATTAATAGTATAGCTTGTATACTTATTTTTCATGGAATCCGCCTAATGTAGAATCTTACTATCTTACGTGCAATATATTAATGGTACTCCTATTAAGCTGGAACGAATTTTAGTAGACTCACCCATAGTGTCCTGCCGCAAATTGAGACTATTTGACTGATGTCTCTGCGATGATCTGGGCAATACATAGCTACCACAAGCTCCGCAAGGTATCATGCCTGCGATTTCAATGTTCCGGCGGCCTGTTGGTCAGGAAACGTGCTGCCTGCGAAGTCGTGAATCACTGGGCACAGTCCCCCCATGTCATTACTGGAACAATCTGAAGCATGCGCATTTCGCTCCCCGTAGGGTGCTTGCTATGGCAGGCATCACGGGCACCGCCTACTCAACTGCTGGAATTACTGAGTGCCAAGGTTCCTGGATTTTGGGTAGGATGCATCATGTGCGAGTCGAATTTTCTGAGCCGTTTTTAGCTGCTTTTGTAAATGGTTTCTCCTTTACGCTGTGCAAAATAGAGGATGGTCGAATTTTGGTAAATATAAATGAAAATTCTGCTATTGTGAGGAATAAAAATGCGGTTATAGCCGTTCATGGTTCTTTGTTTCTCTGATAAAATAAACGCAGTTTTTAGAGTAAAATTTGCAGGAAGTTTACCACTGCAGGTGATATCATTTAAAGGAGATTACAAAAACTAAAAGTCTTCAGGCTGCTGCAATCATCATCAGTGTCTTATGTCATATGTATTTGAAATACCATACAGATGATCCTACTAAAACTTGGCCTCCAAAGAGAATAGGACTCATATGACTTACTGCTATGCGGAACGCATCAGTTTGCGAATAATACAATTCGTATCAATTATCAACAAATTTCTAGTTAATAAAGAAAGAAAATTCTCATTGATTGCTCGTAAAATTTACACATTTTGCTGCACTCCCTTGTTAAGGAGTCAGGGAAGTTGTGCCTGAGTAGTTTAATGATATCAATGACAAGCATGCCAGAATTACTCTCCGATACACCACTCTTGTGACGAAAGGATCAACTGCTAGCAGAGTAAGCGGTTACGTATCTGCAGGTAACCGCTTCAATACCAGTTGACCTTCGCGCAGTCTACCGGGTAGACCTATGTAAATTGTTCGATCGGTTGAACGCTTGGTAGGGACATGCCGCAATCTGGCATCGACATTTCCAACGCACCAACCTGGTGTTGACACTATCTCAGTTTGAGGCTATCTCTGTCGTAACAACCAATGCAAGCGCAGTCAGTCGTAGAATTTACGGGAGATACGTACTAGCTGAGTGTCTATGAAATGGGCCAAAAGAAATATATACGATAAATAGATTCGATCTACTTGGCATCATAACAAAATACTTGTAACTGGATTTCCTGTTTCACCTTCTCACAACTGTACAAGTTGCTGATCTTACAAACCGTTATTATGAGTTAACAATTGGTAACCTTCGAAGCAAATGTACACCGTAGATCCTAAAGTCGTGGCGCGAAATCAAATCGTAAACAATAGCTCCGTTTGAAGTATGTGCATGTGATTTCGACATCGATGCAGTACATCTGTCGTACTTTTTAAATAATTAGTATATAATTTATGCTATATAAATGCTGTTTGTATGTGTCACATACTTTCTTTGTGTTATTAAGTAAAAGTCCTATGAACTTGGGAATCAATACGACCAAACAGGGAGCTGTAATAAGTTAATATTAGTATATATGAAGAACCAACGTGTGATCTATATAACATTTATTTGGTATTGAAAAATAGGAATAATAGAACCTAATCAGGGGATCAAATTGTTATTATCCAATACCGCCCCGGTTTTAGGGGTACATCATGTACGTAATTCTTGTCAGGGTTATTCTATTATTCGGTATTTAGCTACAACGTATACCCGTTTTGTTGATTGCGTCTAGAGTAGACAAAAACACCTCAAATCCTTTCCAGCATGACGAAAACGTTTTGATAATTAAATACCAAGCGCATTATAACATTAAAGTACTTTTATTGCCACTCTTCTCTCGGTAAATGCTTTCAGTTCCAACGCCCAATAAATAAGCCCCGTTTTGCGATACATAAGCAATAAATACCGCGCCAATGACCCAAAATGATGTGTACATTTGCTGACTAGCTTCGTTTGATGGTTATTATAATCCTATGACATGACAACTGTACAACTGATGATTCAGCATGCTACTTGACTAATTAACATAAACCCACTCGTAAATCTTAAATTGCTGGTAAAATTCACATGTGAGCTTCTGAAAAATGTCTTGAATCAGCATCGAATAACAAATATACGTTTGTAAAACGCAAGTGACCGTTGAGGCAGCGAAAACGATCACAGTCATTGGAACAGAAGAATATGTGTCCCCGATCTAAGAACCTAAGGTTTTAAGGACGATACGTTGGAGGATCAAAATTAATCTTGTAAGCATTGAATGACTGATTGCTAGCAGATCATGAAATCTATTGCGATTTGGGTGCAAAGTTTTAGTTATTGTCTTTATTACGATTCCTTGGTGGTGGGTGTAGAAGTAAAGGCGTGTCTTCAGGCATCTTCTCGTGGCACTGTGCGCAGCAAACTGGGGGTGTTAACTTGCGAGATTTTTCCAATGACGCGTAGCTAGGCGGTGGCGTGCCTGGAGTCGGCGTCCGATCTAGAAGACCCTGCTCACCAGGAATCTGATACAGAGCTTGGACATACTGTCTGGAAGGCGTATAGGGTCGCACGGTTGGGCCACGTTCAATCGAAGATGCCGGAATCACAGCGCCACTGTTTAGGTCGGCATTGCTTTGTGACTGAATGCAACGCACAATTCGTGACCGGATATCAGTGCGATTATGATGAGGAATACTTAGCAAAGTGCTATAGGCCTTAATGATAAAGCCCGTAACAAGCAGCATTATAATCGGGATTAGAATGAATAGAAGTGCGTAAAAGAATACCCGGGGTCTACATACGCTCCTAACGATGAATGTGCTTCTACCGGCGTCCGGCTCTCGGGGGATGTCGAGCACTATACGGCCTTCTGTTCCAAAACCGATATGATATAGACAGTGCTTAACTCTGTTACAGACAATGTCATTATCGTCGACCGAAAATCTGATTCTGGTCAAACTCACCCGAAGTGTAACTGAGATATCTTGGTCGCTCGAGTCATTCACGATTAGGATGTAGTAATGATCATCTTCTAGGACATTCACCTCGGTCATACTCCGGCCTTGACGTGCCGTTATAAACCGGGTTCGCACAGCCCAACGAAGATACTTGTACCGTCTCTGACCTATCGGAAGGATATCGTCCTCTTCTTCACTACTGGTTTCATTATGAGTAACGTAGTCGTCAAGCTCTTTAAGGCATCGGCCCATTTCCTCCTTACCCTTAACAACGTTCACTGTTCCATTGGCCATAGAAAGTTGAGATGCGCGATCTGACACAGCTGACACCGACACTGAGGAACCTGACAACAGGAAGTATCTTAGATATTGATGTTTTCTGGGTCCAATATGCAACTTCACGAGTACGTTATCAATTTCGATCCGAGTTTTCGTGTGGTTCTGCTGTTCGTGATCATTAATAAACCGGTACACGTTGAATTTGTGCGTAGAGACGAGCTCTTGCCCCTGACACCATAGTCCGGACACACTGTCGAGAAGACGCATGTCCGTCGAGGACACTTCCAGCTTCGTTTCCGGTGCTTTGACCATAACGAAACACGTACAGATCAGACAGATTACCACGGTAGTAGCGATCAGCCACATCCGTACACAAAATGATGTCGCTCGAGACTCCTCCATTTTGAATGCTCAACGCGGTTCAAGTTGGCTTCCGTCAACGGAACGGTAGTAGTCCGCGCTTTACGTTACGGACGACTTGCTGTGGCTGCCGCAAACCGACGACCGGTCACTTTCTTTCTTTGATGTTTTACTTACGGTGAAAACTTCCGCGCGTGCTTTTTTTTGTTATCGAGAAAAAGAAGGACATGAATGCATTTGGTACAGCGTCTCTACCCGTACAGATGCATTGGCTTTTTGTCGTTGAGGACGCTGTCCACTCTTTATAGTGGCAATCGTCCAGTTGTAAAGTTGGGGAGGGCGTGGCGAAAAGCGTGGGATGAGGACGCACCGACCACATGAAGTGAATACAGTTGGCAATGCTGGCCGAATCTGACTGCCGGGAGACCTTTTGCTGGTTATCTTACCATTGGCAAATAGACCCTCACTTCTATCTGTTTTTTCTATATCTATAACGTGCCTATTTGCTGCCTTTGAACAGAGAAACATGAATGTGTTTTACTTGTTTTCAAAGAGTTGCTTTTAGTTTTTCTACTCATGTAGTAGGATGCCTGCTGTTCGTCGTTTCACTGATTCATCGGCCCTATAAAACAACAAGCATTCACAGCTGTGGTATTCTCTTACGAGAGCAATCCTCATACTCATTATCATGTTTACTTTAATATGCTCCAGTAACCCAGCGTAATTAATTGTAATCCTGTGTTTCGTACAAGACAAGCGTCTGGAAATGTAACTACGAACCCGATAGGAAAAACGCGAAAGAATGCTATCTATGTTTGTGCCCACAAGTCTATTGGAGGTTTTTGCTTGCGAGGTTTTCAATTACAATGTTTTCATACAATGCACAGTAGAACAGTTTATTTTATTATATACTCTCACTGTATTCTGCTACATATCCCTTGTCAAGGCTGAGAGGGCTTAGCTTTATAGTGAAATGATCAGTAAACATATGTTCCTAAAAGGACGCAGTAAAATTTCAGTTACTTATTTGGGCAGCACTACCTAAGGGCGAAAATTGAATAAAGAATCGTACTTCGTTGTATTTTTCTAAACAAAAAAAAACCGATTTATTTTTCTTGCAGAACATTTTAAGAGTCATTTAGACGGTGCATTTTATAACCTAAGTGATACGTTCGATTCTTCGTTCCCTTTCCGTTCTTTCTAAACATTTCGAGGCAGTCAGCTTTCTCTGTTGTTCTTTCAGCGGTCCTTGAAGTTGCGCCACAGCCTTATGTCCATCGCACAACGAACTGTGGGATATCTAGTATAACCTCAGACAACAAATATTTCCTCGTTTGTTTATTTGCGTAATCTTGAAGATCGATTGACCATCATGTGTCATACCGATGTTGGCTCGATATATGGTTACTTGTCTGACATAACTGAACGCAAAATATGGCCTCGTATTACAATATTATCAATGTGTATACGTACCTAAATAGCATTTGATTAAACGATTTCCTCAACAGAATTTTCCTATCTGCTTTTCTCATATGACGATCTGTTTGGGCAGAGTTGACCGGGATCTGCTAGCACCCTGAAAGATTAAAGTGCTGGCCTGGAAGTGAATGTGAGTAGCGAACAATACGTAGTAAAGATTAAAAACTTTTAGGCAGAAGAAGGTTTTTACCTTTTAAGAAGGTAAAACGATTCCCGAACACTCGGTTTAGCCTGCTATCAACTGGCCGGCCAACGGTAGTTATCTCTAAGTGGAGGTTGGCTTACCAGTGCGCCCAGATACCGGTACGCAGGGGAATAGCGCAGCATCTCGGTTTTTTATTTTCTCACGCAGCTTATTTCCCATCCCATCAACTACAACCAAAGGCTGTTTGTCCTTATTTGATACAACTGGATTTTTGTTGAATAAATTATAGGCAGTTTCGCACAACTGCCTTTTGTAGTAATGTTTGTTTCGAGAGCTTGCTCATTGGTGCTGTAAGTTTAACGAACGGCGTAATGATGAAGAGGCCAAATAAGTTGTAAAGAGAAATGGTGGTCGAGAACGGTAATGATTATATGAGCATGTGATATTTTTAAAATAGTTCAGTATTCGTTAAATATTGCTGGGCCCAATATGGAAAACACTACAAAAGGACTTGTTCTTTTTGAACTCACTCAATCTCTGTAACTGGACAAAGTATACTTTTAATGGCGCATGATACTTGATACAGGACAATTTGGGTCAACAAATATCATGGTCCTTGTTGAACTTCATATTATTTTCGATAATATCCAAAGTGTATTTTTAATTTCAAACCCCGTTTATCTGAAAATCACAAGCATAACCATAAGATCAGGAACACGGCAGATTGCAAAAAATAAAAAAACTAAAAAAATATATATATATATATACCAACCTAGGCGTTGCTAGCATTTTCTCCTAGATATTAATTGTTTGAGTCTCTGGCCTGCTGTACTGCTAAAAATGGACCTGTTCCAGTTTTCTACTAGGAAATATCAAAATTTACTGCTCGTAGAAGAAAAGTATATTCCTAGACCTACATAAAACAAATTTGTGTGTGTGTGTGTGTGTGACTTTTTAGTCCTATCTATCTGCTTTAACATTTAGAATTTTTTAGGAAATCTCCTCGGGAAATATAATTCTGTTGCTTACAAAGTTGACGGTCTTGTTGCAAAGTTGTTCTTTTTTCTCACAAAGGTGTTGAAAGTTGAAAACAACTATAAGAACAAGAGGTTTGACTCTATTTCTATGGGTTTAATACCCATGAAACGTTTAGTTTGGGCAAAAATTCGTTGTTCAGCACAAAGGAAGAGCCTAAAACGAAGCTTGTAAAATATTACTCTTATTAACCAGCAGTACTAAACCCAGTTTGCAGCATTATTCATTTTTACGTCCACTTTACTGTGCGTCATACAGTATTTTTTATAAACTTTCTATATATCTGAATTTAATAACAATGCACTAAATATCATTACTAACACAATACATTACTCCAGGCTGCTCAATCCCTCATTCATTACAAAGCTTCAGAATAAAAAAGGATTTCTAAGCGTACGAGATCGTAATCACTTGAAAGGAGATTGGTTTTTCTTTCGTTCACAGACCTTGTTGTTGATTTTTAACTGTATACAAATAATTCAAATCGTGTTATTGCAGGGAACAGTAATGTGCTCATACTGAGGTCAAGTGATAGTTTTCGTCAATAAAGTAGCCTCGTAAGGATAATTATAAAAAAGGTATTTATTATAAATCTATCAAAAAAAATTAGACCTCAGTGTTGTTGTGAGTTAATAGCCATGTTGAGTTCAGGAAAGCAATGGTCAATAAAAGGTAATTAACAGAAAGGGCGACCGAACGGTAAAAGAATTGGCGAGAAGCTGGAGGGGGCAAACAACCATGACAATTACCTATCCACAGTCTATTCTGAATTGGGAAATCGAACGGTGTGCCCAAGGATGTTATTACATTCAAGTATATAACCTAATTGCGTTCAGCTTCACACCAAAGATACATTATCACTTGGAATTTTTTTTGCAGAGAAAGTTTCGTTATTAGTGAAAAGGGTTTAAGGTGTGTGGAGATCTGCATTCAACAATGTTTTCAACAAAATACAGTCAAATCATGACTTTCCAGGTTGTAGGAGCTTGCCAAAGCTGCAATATTCCTGCAGAAACAAGGCTTTTATTATTAGATTGTAACAACCAAGAACTGAAAAATGAGAAAGGCCGTGAAATTCAAATGTAGGGAAGTACAAATTTTGAGCCGGATACTTCCTATGATTGTACGGTGGTCACGCGCCTGTCCACTAATTTTAGGGATAGGTCATGTGGTTGTCTATAATAGTCCTGCACTTGGCCCAGTTATAAATCATTCAGGAAAACGTGTCGGCGTACACGAAAGAGCCTGTAAAAGGGTTTTCCAGAGCTTCTAAAGAAGCTCAAAACCGAAGGCGGCACACTCCGTTTGGTGCTAAATGGCTGTCCACCGTCTGAGCTAGTGCTTAATTAAGTGAGCACCAAAACTAAAACTTGATTTTTTGAAGATTTTTTGAAACTAAAGATTGATTTTTTATCAATTAGTTCTCTTATTAGATTATCATACGGATGCCCAATTGCCGCATCATTCGCTTGCTCTTTACACAGCTAGCACCACCAGGGCTACTAGTGTTTCCCTTTTTCGTTTTCATCTTACCATCGCATTGTCGTTCTCCTAACAAGGGCAATAATGTTGCCAAAAAACGAAAATCGGTCGTGCCTCTGGATTACTCGAGATCTTGAACCTGAGGTGATATGAGCTAAACTATAAATAATTACATTGGTACGCAATTACTCATCATCGGCTACTGTTTACCAATGCATTCCAAATAATCCCTTTCGAGAAATTCATCTTAGTGAAAAGAATCCCTTCTTACCCGTTTGCTTCCACGGTCCCGTCAATAGGCTATTACAGCAAAATTGAAAAGGCAAAAAGATTTAGTCTCGGCATGTTCAACTGACCACTATTACGACGCCCCATCGATTTCTGGAAACGCTAAAGTTGCTTGGATTTGTTAGCGAAGAAATGTGGTGAGTCTGAGTGACGTGTTTGAGATAACAAATAGATCATTTCTTTTTACCATTCATTTCAATTTATATATGAAAGCTTAGATATAACAAAATAAGCTAGTTGAAAGCCATGCTTATTTAATGGTTTCACGAACCATTGTTGTTCTGCAATTCTCGTCTTCCGTCGGGTGTATATTTGTTAGCATTCTGAAATATAGAGTTCGTTGATAAAGAATGCTGATTTAGTTCATATATGAAATATATACCGGTCGAGAGACGTCTGCTTCACCCTGTATATACATGTCGTGAACCTTTAGACCACAGTTTGGATATTAATAATAGCTTAATCTTGGGCTAGGCATTTTTTGCTTCAGCCGAGCTGAAATAGGTAATATTTAATCGTATTATGTATTTAGCCATGCTAAAGAATTACTAAGTGCTCCTTTTCGACTAGAAATGTATCTTTACGAATGTCTAATAGTCCCCCCGGCCGGACTTTGTAGCCTTAAGTACTTTGAGAGGTTTGCCAACCTAATTTAATGTTTTGGGTTCTATGTTTATCTTTGCCGCCGTTCAGTGTGGCTTCAAACTGTTGGCTCCTTCTAGCCCAAAATAGAACGGGTTTACGGTGGGTTTCAAACCTCGATCGTCTCACTAGGTGTCTTGGCGTTCAATAGGCAGAGACGGCATCACTAAACCATCAAGGGCATCAGGATGGAGCTCTTCCCGGTGTGTTGATATTGGCCGCTGTACGAAGGAATTATAATTACTACAAATCACTGTGTGCTACTGGGGTATTTTTCCCGATATATGGCCACCTATCCTCGGCCAACTGAAGTGCTCAGAGGATAACAGTCTTGTGTTTGCGTGGTACTGCCCTGCC